AACAAGGACTTCACTATGCTTCAAGAGTTTTATAATAGTATTATTACAAAGCATCCTGGAATTATATTTGATTCAGAAGATTTCCATAAGCTAAATGAAAATACTTTAATATCCATTATCAAACGAGATGACCTACAACTTGAAGAGTCTAAAGTTTGGGATATTGTTATTAGATGGGGTGTTGCACAGAACCATGCTTTGCCTTCGACTCTTGAACAATGGAAAGACTCGGTTTTCCTTGCTTTAAAAAAAACTCTTCAAAATTGCTTACCGCATGTACGGTTCTTTCATATACCTGGAGAGTATGTCTTTTGTAAAATTCGTCCTTATCAACAGATTCTAGAGACTCAACTTTGGAATGATATTATGAGCAAGCATATGGCACCAAATCTTCCAATTCTTCTATAATCTTACCGGCTCGAAAATTTCCAGGCATTCAATTACCTTCTAGGAATGTAACTCCTTTACAGCAAATAAGAATATCTTCGAAAATAATAACTACTGAACAAGCGGCAAAAATAATATCATGGATTGATGGAGAGACATCCTTCGGTATTTCAGAATATTCCTATGAATTCAATTTAATTCTAGCATCTGACAACAATAGTTTTTTCGATTCCTTTTGGGATTTATGTGTCAATAAAGTAGACTTAATATTAATAGTGAAAACTTTTGAAACGGGCGAGATTCTAGGTGGATACAATCCTGTTGGTTATATTAAGCCAGCATCATCAGGTTATACAAAAATAAAAGCAAAAAATAGTTTTATTTTCTCATTAGAAGATGGGAGAAGCATAAATAAATCAGTTATTAGTAGAGCTAAAAATGAAAATGAAGCAGTAATCATAATTTCTAGGAAGAATTTTGGTTTTGGCTCCAGTGATTTTCGTATATGTAGAGGTGTGTTTGGTGGTGGTAAAGTTAATTTATATTGCAAAAAAAAAGATTACGAAATCCACATTAGGAATACTGAAAGTAGTATTTATATAGATAAATTAGAAATTTTTCGGATTTTAAGGGAAAAATTATAAGTAAAATCTGTATTGTATTAATACATTCAATAAAACTGCTTAACACTATAAAGAATTTCTAATGTATAGCGATTACATAAATATTACTTATATATGTATACAGTACATTTATTTTTAAAACGTTATATACTTACTATTAAAAAAGAGCTTAACAAAAAAATCAATAGAATATTATTAAAAATTCATATATCCTATATAGTATTACTGTCACTATCGAGCTTGTTACCAATTCAGAAAAATAATAATGCACATCAGGTAATTAGAGTCAAGTTTTGAAGTCTTAACTTGAAGTTTGGATTTTTAACTTTACTGAGTCTTTATTGACTAATTTACTTCACCAAACTTTTACTCAATGATAACTAATCACATTATCAATAGCAGGTTACTTTTATATAAAGTAGGTTGTTTTTGTTTTTTTGTTTAAGTTAGTTAATTGGATTTGATACCGAGTTGATTAGATTTCAAAAGAATTTTGTTCCAATTTATGTTCCATTATTTGTGTAGTTATTTAATAATATAAAATGTTAATTTAATATGTAACCTAGTTATTGAGATATATATTGATAAAAATTAAAAAAATGTCGAGCTCTCATTTAAATGTTATATTTTTAAACATACTTTTAAATGATTTAAGCAATCTTATTAAAAATTAACTTTTTTTATAAAATTATAAAAAGCTTAAAACGTTAAAAAATCAAAGTTAAAAAAGTTTTTTAAAAGCTTTAAAATTTTTTAAAATTTTGCAATTATAAGAAATTGTTGAAAATTATTGACAATTTATGAGTTAAAATATCAATTAATTATATTTACATGTAAATAATATAAAAGAATAAAATATTTTTTCATATTTCATATTTATATTTACTAACATTAAGAAAACTATTTTTTTATTTTTTTATTAATACATATCACTCATATATAATACATTATAATTATTTAATAATAAACATTTATAATAATAATAATTTTTGTCAAGGTTAATTTAAATAAAAAGAAATATTTTATTTTATTAATACTGTTAAGTACATCAAATTTATTCTTGAAATTTACAATATAGAATTAAATAAAATTATAAAATTAATATCAAAAAAATTTTTTAAATATAAATAATATTTAACCATTAATAAAAAATTAACTTAAATTATATAATTATTTTATGATTTTATAATTAATTATCTAATAATATAATAAATACAGTATGAAATTTATTGTTTATTAAATTAGATATACAGTATATTGTCATATAAATTTTATAATTTTATAAATAACTTTCTTTGATATTTATAATTTTATTAAGTAATACATGTAATTTTTAATATTATAACATGTTTTCAATAAAAAATTGCCTTTGAAATAAATTAATAACACTTTATTACTCTTCTGTCTTCCTTGCTTTAATATTGATTTATATTTCTGTGGTTTATATTTATTATTATAAATTAATATTACTTTTATTCTTTAATTATTATTAAAATTATTATTATTCATTAAAAAAATTTTTTAAATACATTATTTTATACAATACTGTACTTATGTTTTTTCATGCCTATTAAATTCAATACTAACTGTAAATAAAATAACTAAATTGATATAAATACAAAATATGCTTATAGTTAACTCTTGATAAAAGAAACTGTATATAATAATCT